CCGAGACACACGTGAAAAAGCTGCTTGGGAAGATTGCATCAAGCTCTACGACTTCACCGTCTCTAAAATCAACGAGACTATGGACCCAAACGTGAAGTGCTCCAAAACCGACGCACAAACATGGCTAAGCACGGCTCTAACCAATCTCGACACGTGTCGTGCCGGGTTCTTAGAGCTTGGTGTTACCGATATCGTCCTTCCTTTGATGTCAAACAACGTCTCAAACCTTATATGCAATACACTCGCCATCAACAAAGTTCCTTTCAACTATACTCCACCCGAGAAAGACGGGTTCCCTTCGTGGGTTAAACCCGGTGACCGGAAGCTTTTGCAAAGCTCGACGCCGAGAGATAATGCGGTGGTGGCTAAAGACGGGTCTGGTAATTTTAGGACCATTAAAGACGCGATCAACGCTGCTTCGGGGAGTGGTAGGTTCGTGATATATGTGAAGCAAGGCGTGTACAGTGAGAATCTTGAGATACGAAAAAAGAATGTTATGTTGAGAGGTGATGGTATAGGGAGAACGGTTATTACCGGAAGCAGAAGTGTTGGAGGAGGATCGACCACGTTTAATTCAGCTACTGTCGGTACGTATGGTTACAAAACAAAACAAAACAAAACAAAAACAAGTTTTTTTTTCATGATATATTTAGTTTGCCAATTGTTACGTGCATGAACAGAACAAACTAGAGCGAACCACTCTCTGCATCCTATAGATTGTACATAAATCAGGATTTTAGACGTGGTCTAAGGTTTTTAGTTGTCGTTGGTGTCTTTTTCTTGCAGAGTAAATCCGTACAATTTTAACAAAACTCAAAAGTCAAATATTTTTTATGTTTCGTGTCGTCGGGTATTTACACAATAATTCACAACCTCAGTAGCGTGAAGTAAACACAATATGTATGATTTGATTGATAAACCACGAAATGACATAATCAATACGAATTATAGATCTAAACTATATAATTGCAGTTTATGCTTGGATTATGTTCTTATAAAAACATTTTGTTATTTCACAAATTTGATGATTAAATTATAAAAATTATATAAATCGATCACGTTTCCATTTTTTTTTTTTTTTGAGAAAAGGGCAATCACTTTTTCCTTTTCATCTGTATCTTATTATAAAAATTTGTCGATTGTTAGTTTTACCAAGATGATATTTATATTATGAGTATCTATGATTATATGATAATTCAACAATGATATAATTGAAAAGTAAGTAATCATTTTTATACTTTTCTCAAATATTACAGCCGCAGTTGGAGACGGGTTTATAGCACGTGGAATAACATTTAGAAACACGGCGGGTGCGAACAATGGACAAGCAGTAGCTCTAAGATCCGGGTCGGATCTATCTGTTTTCTACCAATGCAGTTTCGAAGGTTACCAAGACACACTTTACGTTCACTCAAACCGTCAATTTTACCGTGACTGCGATGTTTATGGAACCGTCGACTTCATTTTCGGTAACGCAGCAACCGTTCTCCAAAACTGCAACATCTTTGCACGTCGTCCACGTAGTAGCACCAACACAATCACTGCTCAAGGAAGATCCGACCCAAATCAAAACACGGGTATTATTATCCACAACTCTCGGGTCACCGCAGCTTCAGATCTCCGACCTGTTCTTGGATCGACCAAGACTTATTTGGGTCGACCATGGAGACAATATTCTAGGACGGTGTTTATGAAGACTTCTTTGGATAGTTTGATTGATCCACGTGGATGGCTTGAGTGGGATGGTAACTTTGCTTTAAGCACTTTGTTTTATGCTGAGTTCCAGAATACGGGTCCGGGTGCTTCGACCTCTGGTCGGGTCACATGGCCTGGATTTCGGGTCCTTCGTTCTGCCTCAGAGGCTTCAGGTTTTACTGTTGGTAGCTTCCTTGCTGGTAGCTCTTGGATTCCATCGTACGTTCCATTTACTTCAGGTCTTTGAAGGATATATCTAGTTCATTCAAATATCATATGATATATGATGCAAAGTTGTATATACGACCCAATTGATTGGTCTATTACGAGGAATAAATATTGTTTTTTACCATGTAAAAGTGGATATTCTTATATACTGTAGTAGTTTCATGTAATCTCTGTTTTTTTTTGGTTCAAATATATTGTATTCTGTATTTTGAAATAAAATTATCACATGAAGTTAAGAATGTTCTTTTTTTTTTTATCAAAGTTAAGGATATTCATTTTGTTCCTTTCCTTCCTTTCGTGTCTTATTGCAAAGCCCAAATACTTGTTTGCTGGATGAGTCATCATGATTGAATGGATTTAGCAGAAGGTCGGAAATAGTAGGCCTTAATGTTTTTTTTTTTTTGTAACACACCCTTAATGTTATTGCTACATGTTTATGATAAAAGTATAAAAACTGAAAAATCGGGATTGTTCATCAGATATCTTGGTAGATAATTAGATAATGCATGAATGGTAAACTAATATATAAATATTCAATTAGTCTATATTAATTATCATATCAGATCAGTATAAATTATGATAAATATAATTTATAGCTTTACAAACATTTTTGAAATACTTATATACGTGTATGTACACAATATACATTCATTTGATAAAATGTCAAATGAAACATATTCTCATTAATTATCTATTAGCATCATCCAGCAAAGAAGTAGTTGGCATTTTCTTTTGTGTGGACCAAAACTGCTGATGGTTACGGAAACACACGCAAATTAGTGTCAACTCAAAAGATAGTTCTTGAAATTGGACCAATCTAATCTCCAACTCAAGAAAATTTATAAACCAACCTATGAACTTTTTTTTGTCAGTTACGGATCTATGACTGATACAGCTGAAAATGAAATATCTCGCGGATTTGCCCATGTCAAGTTGAGAAAATAATGCAAAGCCAACTATGACAAGAAGGCGAACCATGGCATGTATCATCTCCAAGATTTTGTTTGAACAGTTTATATTTATTAACGTATACAACACACCCGAACCCGTAGGTTGTTTCTTATTTTCCGTAATTTAACTCACACATTTATTCACTAAAAATAAAAAAATACAAAAACTCATACATTCATGAATTAGTGGTATTTTTTTGTGGATAGTCGTAATTTGCCTGAAAGTATCGTTTGGCCATAATCAGGGTCGGCCCTGACCTAAAATTAGGGAAGCACCAGCTTTAGACACCAAATTATGATATATACTTATGGGCATCAAAACTATGAAAATGTTTATGTATCCTAGTGGTTGTGTGCTGGTTAACTGAGATTATGGTGCTTGGTTCGAATAACAGTGGGTGCCAAAATCTGTTTTTGCGGTCTTCTGTAGTAGGGGCTTCAGGCGGGACGGCCCAAATAAGACTGCGGTTCGTCTTAAGTTTCGCATCTTCTTCTCCATCTCATTTTCGCCGACCTGAAAAATAAAAAGAGAGAAAGTGAGAGAAAGACGAGATGGGTGCCACAGAAATGGAGTTCCGGTTCCGGTTATTCGCAAGGGCTCCGTCCAGGCCCGGCCCAAGGCATGTGCTGGAAGTGCATTTGCACAGGGCCCATTACACTGTTTAAAAATTTTAAGCCCAGTTTAGGGACCTTTTAAAAAAAAAAAAAAATTGTAAAGGAAAAAGGGCCCCAAATTTTCTTATCTTTTGTACTAAAGGGTCCAAAATGTTTTTGTTCCGGGCCCAACTTACTCTTGAGACGGGCCTGGCTCCGTCGGATGGTGGAGGGTCGTCTTCTTCTCCCAAAAGCTGTGACAAGATTCTTATTGTTCTTGAGTCTTAAAACTCTTTCCACCAGAGAAGACGATCCTCCATCGTCCGGTGGGATCTTGAGCGACGAATCTTGACGGATTTGAGTTCTCTCTCCATGCATGTGACGGATCCGGTAGTGTTTGATGTCTCTGTCTTTTATCTTTTTAATTTTTAAGAATATTCTCTAACTTTGTTCTCCAAATTTCATGTATATGCAGCTCCGGCGAAGGTGGCTTGTTGCTCGGTGAAAATTCCAGCTGCTGGTGGTTCGGCTTCTGAGTTCTTCATAGAACTAAAGCTAAAGCCGATCCACCACCAGCAGCTGAATTCTTCACGACATGTGTTGATTTCAGGAGACTCAAGCTCCGGTGACGATTCGACTCACCGATAACATGCGGCCTCCTCTGAAGGTATTTTTCTCTCTGCATGCGACCAGGTGGAATGTACGGGTATTTTCGTATCTTTGATTAACATTGTCCTTGCCTCTTTCAGATTAAAATTTTATGTGTTTTTTTCTGTTATAGCTAGAGAGTTTTCATAAATAAAACAATTTTTGTATAATGGTACTTTTAGTGTTCAGAAGACAGAAAAGAGACATGGCATACATGTCGAATATACATACGTGAACATAACTGAGAAAGTCTCAAATCGATCACATATCTTGTAGTTTACAGTTTGTATTATATAAAGGTCACACTCTCACAATATTCGTTTGTAAACATAAAACAATTAGTAAGCAAAATTCAAATTATAAATGAAAAAGTAGTCGTCTGGTTATCAATCGCATGATTCGCATCACGTTCTAACTGACGCTCATTTTAGATATGAACATATTTCACATCGAAACGTTTCGTATCCAAGTTAGACATGGAACCAGCAAAAAACAAAAACTTTCTTGACATCTATCTTTGTCATTCTTATATAATAGTATAAGCTAGTGTGTGGGTTTGGGAATAAGTAAGCGACAAACAAATCCTAGCGATTGATCGCTAAAATTTCCATTAGGAAATAGAATCGTGTTACACTTAGCTTCTTCTTTGAGGTTTCATCACACACACAAAAAAAAAAACAATTTACCATTGCCACTAAAGTGTGTCCCCATGCTAATCACATCGTTATCCGATATAATCGCTTTTACGATAATAACAAGTATTTACATTACCACCTTATATTATAACACAATAACACAAAAAGAACGAGTAAATTGAAAAAGTAAAAAAATCAAGCATTGAGAAAGTTGAAAACGTTTTGAACTTTATGTACTTGTTGGTCGTATTTAACTGCTGCAAAGACGACTCCATGGAAATATCCGAGAATCCAACCCGGAAGCGATTCGGGTTTTGACACGTTGGAAGTCTGAATACAAACAAGGTATAGTGATTCCACCTTCGTGTCGGAATCCATACTCTTTCTCAGATTCTCTGAGTAGCTCACCGAACAGAGGATGGTTAAAGTAAACAATGGGAACCAGATCTCTACGAACGTCACCTTCTTTTTGACCCACGTAAACCGCTAAGTGTCCTCTTGGAACCGGGCCAGGTTTGCACTCAGATCCTCTCGTAGATCCTAATAAGCTGAACCTTTGCGTGAGACGTTGGCTCCAGTTTTTGAGTTTGGTGATCGGTAGTGTCATCTTGCGAGTACGAGTTGGTCTCGTCGGATGTAACCGGTTGTATCCGAAACGACGGATCCGGGTTTTCCCGAGAATCCATCTAGAGACTCGTCTTACCCGTCTCCTTATTCTAAACCCTATGAGCTGCCTCATTTATCACAAAGCTAAATTATTTGACTGTGTAAACAAACTGTAAAGAGGAAGTGATCAATAGAATAAGTGAGTGAAAGGCATAGCGTTTTAAATAGATGAAGAAAAATGAGTTTCTCGAGTCTGAGCAAATGAACGGTTAGGTGAATCTTGAAGCTTTTTGGCCGTTTGATTAGATATAAACTGCCACATAAGCTAGTCAAAAGACGAAGAATCTACATTAAATAAATGACACGTCCCCTTGACCGTTACTTATCGTCTAATCTTATACTACTTTGAGAATGTTGTTTTACCTTTGTCACACCATAGTTACATTGTTGTACTGTGATTTTAGCGAAGTACTATTAGTGGTTGATTCTGAATCTGAGATGAGAATCATCGGACAAAGGTCTTTCTCTCTTATTGTCTGGAAATGTTTTGTCGTCGTTACATGTTTATTTATGTATGAAGATGACGACAACTATGCCACCACACGTGTGCTGGCCACTTGGAACAAGTTTTTTGAACCTTTCGGGAACACTAACACGAGATCAAAACCCCACCTTTTCATTTTAAAATGTTATTTTTCTGTTAGTGATCGTCATCTACTGTGTTTTATTAATCAGGTAAGTGATCGTCTATCTGTATGTGATTTTGTTAAAGATACACATTCAATAAATAATTATAATCGGGAACGATGTGTGTACGGTGTGTGTCCTTTAGCTGCGTTACTTGCGTACCCTAATAATGGTATGTATACATTATATATACAGTCATAACCAGACAAGCGATTTAAAGAAGTTACGAGCAAAGATAGATCTAGTTTTAAGTTATTTATAAACTAAGTTTGTGTTTCTAACCCGAGAAGCTTTGTTTATGTAAACGGACAGTGTCATTCCAAACAAATAGGTGGCTTAAAGCATCTGAAACAATGTAGACTTCATAGAAAAATATCATATCTTCTAAAACATCGTCTCAAAGACAAAATTATGTTTGTCCGGTCAAAAATTTTCAATAGTCATAGCTGGAAATAGTTTCTAGAAAATGGAAACTAGTAAAAATGAATGACCAAAGTACGGCGATCATGTGATTTTGGTATTGAAATATGACTATATATAGAGCGTTAGAGGTTTTATTCAAAATAAAAATAAATATTTAATTTTTACTAAAAATAAAAGAAACTTTGGTTTCTTTGTTAAACTCTAGTCTAAATTAATTTCCACTTTCAAATTCTTTGTGAATCTCCATGACCTAAAAATAATGGTTTTCTTTATTGTAAGATTATATTAATACGAAACTCATCCAAAATTTTATCATCAACTTTCAAATTTTCTTTTGTAAACTCTTTTTTTCTGGGCACCTCTAACTAAAAATTCTTACGACAGAATTTATAACAGAATATAAAAACCCGTCTGTTAACTTTTATTTAAAAAAGTTAAGAACCGGATCTTAAATGTTTTATTTAAGAATCAGTTCTTAATTTTTTTAACTAAAAGTTAAGAGATGAATTCTTATTTTTTGTTAAAAACTCCACTATAAGAACACTCTCAGAACAGATTCTAGCTTTTAGAACTCTAAAAATACACATGTGTGTATGTATATATTTATATGTGTATATAATTGTGGAGTTCTAAGTTTTACGGAAAAACATAACCAAAAAGTTCTCTGCACATAACTTTTTGGTTGAATTTTCCGTAAAACTTAGAATTCCACAATTATATATATACACACATGTGTACTTTAGAACCCCAAAAGCTAAAACACCCCATTGTGAATTCTCTAAAAACCTCTTATTAGAGATACTCTTATATTTTTTCTTTTTTTGGTCAAAAGATACTCTTATATTTTACGTTTAGAATTTTCAATGTTATTTTATCAATATACATGGACTACACCAAAATTTTATTTTTTTATTAATTTAGAGAGATATTAATTTATCGATATACTAATGGAACCAAAAACTCAATTTGGAATTATAAAATTATATTATTTTATAGAGATATTTAGTGTATATTAATTTATAGAGTATTAATTTATAGAAGTTCTACTGTATAATAAGATAATCGGTGTTAAAAAAAAAAAAATATATATATATATATATATATATATATAATAAGATATTTGCTTGTGGAAGCCCAATAAAATGAAGGCCCATTGGAATGTGAGACCTCACCGCACTCTCCTCCGGGCTCTGATCATATATGACTTCGTCTGGATAGTTTAAGTGGAATAGTAATTTCGGGTTGAAATTCAGATTTACGCATCCGGGTACACCAACTTCAGTTTCGGATCCTTCCCTTTGCGTAAGAGTCTTCAAGTTCACATGGTTGCCTCTTGCCACTGGCTCAGGAGAGAAGGAATCTGAAGAACATTGGTGGAGATGACAGAATCGAGCCTGGATCTTCAGGAATCAGGCTGGGAGGAGCTTCGGAGAGAAGCTCGCAAAATCGAAGGCGATCTCGACGTTAAGCTCTCTTCTTACGCTAAACTCGGCGCCAGGTTCACTCAAGGCGGTTCGTTTCCGCTTTTTGATCATTCATTCATTCATATGCTCTTGCATTGCTTCCTTGTTATTATTGGATATGATCTCTTCACTGTATTGAATCCTTGAGAAGTTGTTATGCTGATAGTGATCTAGTAAACTAGTTTTCGATATGATCCACACTTATTAATCACTGTGATGCAGAACAGATAGATTCTGATAATGTTTCCATATGTAACTGACTCTATTTTTGCCGTTAGCGTTCAGCTTTATAGAACTGCCTTGTGGTTGTATCACATTAATGTTGTGAACCATTAGAGAGAATCTTGAAATGCAAAAGTTGAGGTTGATTTTGGTCTCAGGGTATGTTGACGCTGGATCTCCAACCGTTGGATCTGGAAGATCATGGAAGTCTATGGAGATTGAGATTCAATCTTCTCTTGAGAAGTTGTTGGACATTAATGATTCCATGAGTAGATGTGCCGCATCTGCTGCATCCACAACCTCTATTACTCAAAAGCTTGCAAGGCACAGAGATATACTTCATGAATACACACAGGTTATATCTTCATATGCTATCTCTTGAGTGGAACGGAACATACTGAGAATTTATAGATTTGACAATTCTGATCTCAATGCAACTGCTCTATTTACTTTTCTTCTTGTTACCTTTGGATTTTATTTGCAAAGGTGATACATAAAACATAGTGGCACATGGGATACATGATACTGTAACCCTTATGTTTTCGGATCACGCATCAAATGGTTAAGTCCTATATACGTAGTTGCAGTCTCATCTTTTGGTAAAAGAAGAAAACGTTTGCGCTAGTGTGGATTTTGCTTACGCATATGTTGTAATATGAAGTTATACATATTATAGGGGACCTTAAGAATATCGATACATGAGATATAGTGCCACCTGGGAAACATGATATTCTTACCCATTGTTTTTGCATCATGCATCTGTGATTAAGTACTAGACAGTCCCATCTTTTGTAAAAGGAATAACCCTTTGCACTAGTGCGGCTTTTGTTTAGCGATGCTTATGCATCTGTAGTGATGTGAAGTTATACGCATTATAGGTGGACCATATTCTCGACTGTAATGTTTATCGATGTAAATTTATAGGAGTTTCGAAGGATAAAAGGAAATATAAACTCCATGAGAGAACATGCTGAGCTTTTGAGTTCTGTCAGGGAGGACATAAGTGAATATAAGGTAAAGAACTGGGTCTTCTTAAGATAGGAAATACACATTCTTCTATGATCACATTTTGATGGGAAGATGCTTTCTGTTTTGGATTCTGCAGGCTTCTGGTAGTATGTCACCAGGTGTGCAAGTGTTAAGGGAGAGAGCTTCAATCCATGGAAGTATTTCTCATGTAAGATACTTTCTGTATTCTTAGTGTTATATTTCTGTTAATAGCCTCGTTGCAATGTGAACTATCTAATGATGATGTTACAGATATTTTACTAATAGTTTAGAATATATTTGGCTGTAGATTGATGAAGTTATTGGTCAAGCTCAAGCAACAAGAGCAGTTCTTGGCTCTCAACGATCTCTGTTTTCAGATGTTCAAGGGAAAGTTAAAAATCTCGGAGACAAATTCCCAGTGATTCGTGGCTTACTTGGTATCTCCATTCAACCTCTATATGATAAACTCAACTAATCTCTCACTAACTTTAGCAATTTGTCTTCTCTGTTTATAGGATCGATTCGAAGGAAACGTTCTCGGGACACACTTATCCTCTCTGCTGTTATCGCTGCATGTACGTTGTTTCTAATCATCTACTGGCTTTCTAAGTAAACAGTATGTTCTACACCTAACGTATAAGAAGAGATTTTCCTCCACATCAATTTTTCCTAGTTTTTTTTTGGGTTTTGTTTGTAGGATATAGTGTTACACTCTTAATCAAAAAACAGTTTAAAATTCGAAAACACATTTTTTAACAAGATCAGAGATGAATCCATGTGACATCAACCAGGTACTTGGTTTTTTTTTTTACCACACTCAAAGTTCTTTAATGTCCTACAGACAATGTGGTCCAATGAACACTGTAGCTCTGTTTTGTTTTAGATATTTCTCAGTTCTCCATCCTTTTGTTTTGATTCTCTCGACCACAACACTAGTACGAAAAAAGTTACCCATCTCATAAATTGATCTTTCAGCTCACATTTACATCGTTCAGGTTATAAAATCTAATGGACGCTCTCTTAAATTTTTGGTGGGGACACACTTCACTGATGATCCAGTCCTTATGTTTGTCTCACTACCCATGCCCTACATATAGTTTCAGAAAATGTTAATTAGTTGGTTCATACCGGTTTAAGAGATTTGTAGTGGTCCAGAGCCTTATGGAATTGGTCCAGCTTTGTCAGAGCCAGGGCGAGTCGATTTTTCTATGTGGATTCAACTATGCTACGATTACGTGGGATTTTAACCCTTAAAGATATTTTCCATGTATATATTTAAATATAGATTAATAATGGAGATGTGGTTATAGCATATAGTCTCATTTAAGATATAAGATTAAACGAGGAAAGTAACTAGAATACTACTCACACGCGTGATTCGTTTGCTACTGTTTGAATATTGTTCTTTCGGGGGAGATTATAAATTTAGCTTTTGGTTTCGGGGGGACATGTGACTATGAATCAGAGGCTTTTTTTAACAAACAAAAAGCTTGTTAGATTTTACGCTCCCCAATTGGAGACCGTTTCTTGTGAATTTTTAAGACAATAAAAGACTCAGAAAGATCAGAAAATGTTCAGTTTCTCTTTTTGGTTAAGAGTGAAAAACTTCGATTCTACAACTCACGGATCGGGGTTACAAAGGAACACATCAGACTGTCGACATTCGACACCATCACCTTAGTTAGCTGTGTATTTTTGTTTACATTTTGCATTTATGATCACAATTTACAAATTATACGACTTCGTAATGAACTTAAAACATTCCATTCCTTTATTTAATTTCAAAACCGTTATCCAGAAGAAGAAAAACACAAGTTAATGATCGTGTTAAGTAAATCAGTCAACGCAATATACATACAAATATAGTGGAAATAGTATGGTCAACGCAATATACACACAAGTTTAATAGTTATAGTTATTGTTTTTCCAGATGCATTCACCAATTATTTATAACCTATCCATACAAATTTCCCTATTAGTTTTTTTTTGTCTTTCCTAAAAGGGTTGCAAAGTAGCCGTATTATCTTATGTCAAGTAATACTAGGTGTTTTTCTGTACATGTGATAAAATTTTAAATTTAATTTATATTTAAAAATAACTTTTTGTTAATATTGTATATTTTAATATATTTATACCAATATTTTAATATAAATAATAGTTTAGTTTAAAATATTATTAAGATAAAATAAAGAATTTGATTTATTTAAAACTATGTTTAAGTTATATTTAAATTATAATTTAGATAAATTTACATTTTTTCGTTAAGATATATTAAATTAAATTTTATAAAAAAAAATAAACTTGATAAAAAATATAATTACAAAAAAGGTAATCAAAATTTCTAAAAATTGTATATATAAAAATAAATATTTTATGATTAAAAATTTAATCTTTTAAATAGATTGTGTAAAATTATGAAAATCTTGTTTAATAAAAAAATGAAATGATTATTAAAATCTACTTTAATAATAATTCAAAATTAGTAATTTTTTTTATATTTCTATTATTATATTATTTAATGATATATTTAAATAAATTTATTTTAATAATGATTTATGAGTTGTTACTATATTTTCTAAAGTTACCAAATATTAAAATCACCATTAGATGTAACTGTGCATGTCACATTTAATTATAAGTTATATCTTCAATTCTAGTATGTTATGTCACATTTTTTATGAAAATGAATGTAAAAATTACATGAGTGAAATCACTTAACAAATAATGTCTAGGTGATAGAATATTTTTTGGAAAATATTTCACCATGCAACAAGAAATATACAGTTTAAGTGATTTTTTTTTTGTAACTGAGTTTAAGTGATTATTGATTATAAATATAACACAATGGTGACAATTAGTTGTACTAGAGATGACATTTTCATTGATATCTATCTTTTTGACTATTTTCAATGGTGACAATTAGTTGTACTAGAGATGACATTTTCATTGATATCTATATTTTTGACTATTTTAAAACCATATACCATTTTGCTTGTTGGCCTAAACCAAATTGTATCACTAATCGGATCTATAGCGTGCTTTGAAACATAGAACTGATGTGACAGATTAATGTATCCAGTACTGTAAAGATGTATGTACTACATAATTTGAGCATCAGAAAATCATTCAGGTCTCTTAGAGCACCTCCATTAGTGAACTCCTTGGGTTCATCTTTTAAACTTTTTATTATTAAAATTTTTTTTTGATTAAAATAAAAACTAGATCAATCGTGGGTCGTCACGTGTTATGTGGTCTGCACTATAGTGATGAATTTTAGGAGAGAGGGGTTCAGCCGGATGAACTTCAAGATAGAGGGGTTCACAGGATTAAGTTATTTTGATATTTTTTGGCTTGAAACGTATGAACTCCTATCTGAACCTTTAATGGAATTACTTTTAGAGCATTATATCAATAAATTTGGGAGGGGGTTTACAATTTTTTTAAATAAATAAAAAAATAAGTGGACTAATCGCAGACCACCACATGATATAGAGTCCGTGAAACAATGTTGATTCGAATTCACTGCCGCGAACTCCGTAGGGAAAAGTGATGAACCTGAGACTTATTTTAATATTTTATTTTTCTTAGAATCCGTGTGAACCCTCATAAATTCATTGATGTGCTCTTAGGAAAAATTATACTTCAATGATTAAGCAATGATGGTTAGAACATACTTTGATTTCTCCATTAGTAATATACTCCACTAAAAACAACAACATATATATGCAGAGGAAGAGCTTCAAATTAGTCCAGTTTGGCATGTTATTGTGCCCTAAAGTAAGAAATGTTAGGACAGAAAATTATGCACGTGGCAGAGAGAAGCCTGCGACATAAAGACAAAGAGACGGACCATAGAGTCGGAGCCGAGGAGCCTGGGCGGTCCATAAACATGCTATGCCTATTAGCCTACATGACTCTGCCCTATGACCCTACCTATTCTCTATATAGCTCTCCACTCCGTACTTCTCTTTTAATTTAACTTTTCTCCGGCTGCAGTAAAATTACTGTGTGCAATAAAAAAGCCATTTCATGCGTACACATACTTAGGCCCTATATGTATTAAAGAGATACAGACAAATTTAACTCTCTTTTTTATAACGTTTGAAATATTAAATGAAGATCTTACATTTATACAACAATTTCATATAATCAATACTCCACATGTTTCAAATTATAAATTGTTTTGATTAAATTAACACACAAAAATAACCTCGCAAAAGTAACTCGCAAACTTTGGATTTTTAAACAATTTAGGTATGAAGACATCTCACTACACTTCATCGTATGGTCTCTCAATCTATTTTAATAATTCCTAAATTATCACAAGCCTCTAGATTAATTAAAACTCCCACACACAAATATTAAGATAAACATTCTTTTGTATTTAACATTTAATTAAAGAACGACATTGACACTGATAACACTGATAAATCATACTTAAAAAATATCATATAATTTTTTTTCTTAAAGTCATTGTGGAACAAACTTTTTTTAGAAATTAAAACAAATAGAGTAGTTCTTTCACCGTTTTTATTTATATTGAATGGGATTTGCCTTCTAATCGTTTTAATGTCGTTAAGATAACTTTAGATTAAATTATTTCGTAGTTTAAATTTTACATTTCTTTAGTTGAATGAATGAAAAATAATAAATATATATTTGTTGTCAGGTTATTTATTATTTTATATAATTGACTAAGTTTAAAAACAAATAATTTGACGGCAGAACTATACGGATCAAATACAACTACTCATATTAGTTACTTCAACCTTACTTTTTTTTTTTGGTCAAAGTTACTTCAACCTTACTAACTACCTAAATCTTAGTTTACACGATCATGCATAACAAAGTATTCTCACATGTAAACATCATTCTCCTTCACTCGCTTTAGTAGTTCGAACCACTGTCTTCATTTTTTTATACACACTGTCGCTTTTCCTTGATATCTGAGAATTCGTTACTATTTTATTTACTCAGGCCAATTAAATAAATATAACATGGAAAGTGGAATCTTAAAAATCTATATCTTACATATTAATCGACCAAGATTTTTCAAAATCGTAATTTTGTACAAAAAGAAGATAGAAATAGAACTGGAGAAACCCTATAGTGTTCATATCTGATACTACCTTTTCACCGCACTGAATAAGTAAATGCTTATTTACAGACATTTATATAGGACTGTGTGTATATAGAAATATTAATAACCAATTTAAATACTACTATTACTTTGAAAAGCCATTATTCTGCCTTCTGCGCAACAGCCCATTTCTAACTCATCCCTGGCAAGTAGCACGCATAGGCACAATTTTTGTTTAAGTTTTAGAATTAGTCAACTGAGACTCTGATCTTAGATGCATACATAACTAGAATGGTTCACGATACTATTTATTGTCTTTCCTCATAGTCTTTAGTATAATTGAGCTTACTATAAAACTGAAATACTTTAACTATTCATCACAACAATATGATTAAGTTACCAATGAAATATGTTCACATGGGATTGATACCAAAGGGAGATGAAAAACTTAATAAATCATCTAAAATAATTCTTGATTAAGTGTCTATTCGTTGATCTCTAAATAAAAATGAAGTTGATTTAACATCAAAAAATTTGACACCAGTGTTTACTTTCACCCATGTGGGGTTCACTTTGTACCCTTACAATTTGGATGTTTGTGAAAATATATTAATTAATATGATAGGTAACAATAAATACATATATATTATTTTAGAAAGGTGAAAATTTCTTAAACACCAACACCTATTCTGTACATACCATCGAGCAATTA